CACACACACACACACACACACACACACACACACACACACACGCTTCCTGAGCAGTCTTTGAAAGTATTGCCTGTTGTCAGGGATGCTTACCTGGTGGTTGAAGGTAACGGGAAATCCTTACATGGCTTTCTGTATTGCACTGTGAGCGACCTTTTGTTTTTCTGGTATCTTCTTTTCTTTTTCTTTCTATTGTAACGCCCTCTGCGACATTCTCCCACAGCTGTCTGTCATCTTTGGATTGATTTAAAGGTTGTGGACAAACACATGGCTCATGATGGGTGTTCACTTTTGATAAGCACTCCTAGTTTCTAATGAACCCAAGGTCTTGCTTCCTTTGAGTATAGTTCAACACCTATACACAGCTATTTAGAGACCCGCCTCTGGCTCAACGGGAAAACTCAGCAGCAATGAGAGATTGCCTGTGTGCTCGCAGGAAGACTCCCCTTCCAGTTACCTCACTGTTTCACCTCAGTCCTTTCAGTCAGGGCTGTTTCTGCTCCAGGTGCCAGAACTCCGGTTAGGCATCCTCTTTGCTACTTTCTGCCCTTTGCACACCCTCCTCACTCCCTCTTCTTGAAACCACCTGATTTGAAACTCATGTCATTGGAACAGCCTGCCCGCTGTGCCACCTGTGTGCACGTTGTGCTTCTCAGATCACTGTTCTCTGCCTTGAAGAATTTAGCTTCCGGCTCACTGTCACTCCAGCAGACAAGTATTTTTCTGATTTGATAGCCACACACATGCTTCTGCTCATACCCGGCCTCTCAGAATCCAGAGCTCGCTTACAAACAGCTTGATTTTCACCCTACTTGAGTCACCCATCTCAGTGTTTGTCACCAACCTGCAGAAAGTCGCACAGTTTCCGTGTTCAGGTTTTATTCTTCTACTCTGATCAGCTTTGGTGTCTCCCGCTCTCTCATTCCTGCACCCAGACAGTTCTCCAACCTGCCGAGACTGTGCAGGCCCTCAGCCTCCTGTTGGCTTTCTGCTCTTGCTCGCGATCCCTTTGCTGGATTTCTAACCTCACAGGGTTTTCAGTCCTTAGTCTCCAGTCTCACGTTCCCCCTCAGTGATGTCCAGGACTCCTGCTAGCCGGGCCCGGCCGCCCTCAACCCTCTGGATGACTGTTTCAGACACGTTCTCTGCTCTCCTCAAACTTTCGGTGTTTCCTTTTCCATCACCGCTCTCAGATTATGACCTTGCTTCATATTTTTCTCAGAAAAATAGAAGTACTCAAAAGAGAACGTAGGCTGCTGGGAACATGCTAGAGAGTGCCGTAATATTCAGCATCTGTGTCATAAGATGCATAAATCTAGGAAGTAGGAAGTTGTCAAAAATGAAATGGAGCATTTACAGATCTGGATCCGTGAGCTGAAATGAGTGGGTGTGGGCCGTTTTGAACAGGATAGCCGCCTGCCCGACTGTGCCAGGAATGACAAATTGAAAAGGAACAGTGCCACGTTCATGGGCAAAGAGAACATTCCAGGATCTGTCCGGAGATAGAATGCCATCAGCCATGGGAAAACATCCATACTCCAGCAAGGACAGCGAGTTAATACGATTCAAAGTTTTGCATCAACCACTAATATGAAATATGAAATAAACTGAAGAATCTGACCAATGTCTGCAGGCTGAAATTGCTCAGGCATGCAGCTCAGAGGCCCGAATCCTTCATGGTGACTGGAATGTGGAAGTTGGAAGCAACGAAGAAAGAGCACCTGGCTTCAGTGCTAGCAAGGATGCCACTGAGCCCACGAGAAAATTTCATGAAACCAATGACCTGTTGGAGTGTCATTTTTTTCCAACCACATAAATCATGAAGGGGCGTATGGGCCTCAACAGGTCGAGTACATATAATGAGACTGATCTCCTCTGTGGAAAGAAATGACCAAGAAGCCCAGTACGATCACTCAGCACGAGGCCAGGGCATCAGATGCTCACCTGCAAGTTGAAGTTGAATTGCAACACATCCATGAGAGCCAAAAATACAAGCGTAAGTATATTCCATCTGAATTTAGGGACCATCACAAGCATGGATTTGACACACTGGAAACTAACGACCACAAGCCAGACAAGTTGTGGAGTGGCACCAAAGAAGAAAGCCAAAGGTCATGAAAAAGACAGAAAAGACCAAGCTGCTGCAGGGCGGTTCACGGAATCGAGGACGGGGTGACACGCAGAGCTGACCCAAGACCACGGTGGTGGCTTGAGAAGGCAGAGTACACGCTAAGGAAAGTGCAAAGAAAACTAAAAGGAAAGATGATGATTGGCGTTTCTCAAGTTAATAGAACTCATGGAAAACTCCAAGCCTCTTGAAGGTAATCAAGCGGCCATCTAGCTCGGAAGCAACAAAGCCCACATTGAACAACATATCAACCTGTGTGATCACGGGGTGTCGAACGGATCACTGAAGACAAATGGGTGCATAAGCAAATGTGGCGAAGAAAGCTGATGG